AGTATATCTCCCTTCTTCATATCTACTGGAACTTCCTATCTTTCTCCTTTTGGTTCTGAAGTGTCACATAACCTTCCTTTCTTACTATATTAATGTCATATAAACATATAAGCTTGTTTATGATAAATGTAGGTGGGGAGAATCCCAGACAGACATCAGATGATTCTATCTACGATGAAGGAAAAACTTGGAATGAAACCCATGCTTATAACCTCTGTGGTTAGGGACACCATAACCTGGCCACAGGAATGCAAGCCATGAAAAGAATAAAGCAGAGCAGATTTGGCACACCTTAGATGGTGAACCAAATATGCCAAGGCAATAATCTCTGTATAAATCATCAGGTGAGTATACTTGACTGAGTCAAGTTTACCTATGTGTAAATAACTGCCTCCATGTGAATCAACACATTCAGGAAGAGAAACTAAAGAAATTTACTAGATATGGACAGATCTAGATTGTGTGAAATGTCTAAATAAAAACATTTTAATAGCTTTACAATACCATGTCCACTTTATACTTATATATATTGCATCCAACAGGAAGACTCCTTTCTCCCTGTAATGAAAATTCTTAGTTGTGAAATTAAAATATTAGACCATTAGCTTTGTTTGAGAGTAGTCCAGTGTGTCTACTTTCCCTAAAATTCTTATACAGTGCTCATTTGCCTCTCTAATGACATCAAGGGGAGTTTTTAAACTTAATTTTTTTTTTTTTTTTGCTGTGAACATCAGAAATTCTCTTAAACAACACTGAAAAATATTAGGGAGTCACACGGTTTCTCTCATTTGCTCAACTTTCTCCATAGGGCTAACAGAAGCTTTCAGAGGTGGACATTTATACTATCAGATGTAAATTCAGGCCTGTTAAATACAGTGAATAAACTTGTCCACTACAACAAGCATTCCATCCCACTTGACTAGGTGTGACTTTCATTCATTGTTCAGTCGCACTGAACAGAATGTTCTCTAGCTACCATCCTATTTAGGCTGACATTCCCTATATCTGAGGGCTTATAATAAGCAAACCATACTCAGTTTTCCAAAGAGCAGATATGCTCTTCTGTTAAACAGATTAAAGTATGTTTTGTGGAAAGACCTGAAGTTCAAGCCAATGATATCATATAGGTCTTAATATACAATCATACAGACATCATGACTGAAAATTTAAAAAAAAAACTTGACTATTTTGGAGAAAATAATCATGTTATGCAAGGTGTTAAAAGGAATTGAGGATTGTTTTGGGAGAGTAAGTACCAGAGAAGTTAATTAAAATCATGTTACTTTTATAGTAATATCAAAATCCATAATGAAGAACATTTCTTTTGAATCATAATGATAAATGTCATTTAAAATTGTCACTAGCTCAATTCCAATATCCCTATAAAGCAACTTTCTAGACCTCAAAAGAGGATCATATTAACCACTGTGGGGCTAATTTTTAACATGTAATAACTGCAAAAATTAACCTTTTATCAATTTATGACATCACAACAGCTATTTTTAAATACATAATCCACAAGTTAGAAATGCAATTTCCAATTGTTCCCTGGGGTCTAATAAGTGATGACTTACATCTTGTGATATGCTATAAAATAAATTGTATTCCTGTGAGTCATGTTCTACAGCCTGAAATCTAAAATTACCCTCACTGAAGAAATAAGGCAAATGTATTCCATTATAGAAACCACAGAGAATCAAATTAGAAGGCACAAAAGGCCAGAAAACTCAATGTATCTCTTATTAGTCTTTAAAAAAGCTACCTCCTATTTCCCAGTGTGAGCCATCATGATCGATAATGCATAAAGAGTTGAGACTTGGAATGGAGAAACTCTACTAGAATCTGAATAGAAAATAGTCTGCTTTCTGTCTCCACCCCTACTTTAATGCAGGCCTTGCTCTGATTTCCTGAAACAGGAATTTTAATGCTGCCCTGATGCTGTCTCTTGAGTTATGAAAATATATACACTCCAAGTCTATAGAAAAGGCTGAGCTCAAGTGTGTGATAAAATCTGGCTCTATTCTTTTTTCAGTCTGAAATTGGGACATCCCAAGAGAAGCTGAGAGTAGTAAGGAAGGGTGAAAAACTCCTTTGCTTTATTCCCCATCTACTCACATTTTCTGGACTCACCAACCACATTCAGTATTTTGTGGATTTGTTTATATTGTCTCAGTATCTACCCTGTTTCCCCGAAAATAAGACAGTGTCTTATATTAATTTTTGCTCCCAAAGATGCGCTAGGTCTTATTTTCAGGGGATGTTTTATTTTTCCATGAAGAAGAATACGGTACACATTTATTGTTAAATGAAAATAAAAGAAGTTTATTACCTGTATACAGTACGGTAGTTAGTTGTCAACACAAACCAGACAAACTGTGAATCCTACAGTATCAAGAATTTACTCATTTATTCAATGACAATCATGTCATCATCTTCTGGAACATCATCATAACAATCCAATTTCTGAATTTCCTGGTGAATTTCTTGTGACTCCATTTCTTTCAGAATCAGTGGACCAAATCTCTCATGTTTAGCTTGGGGGGGGGGCGGTTATTTTTGGGGAATGCCTTATATACTCAGAAGGAAACCTGTAAGTAGGTCTTATTTTCGGAGGATGTCTTATTTTCAGGGAAACACGGTAGTAGACTTTCTCTTCCCTGCCCCTTTAGAAGTAGGAAAAAATGTAGATATTTCAGTGCGTGAAAGCCTCGTTTAAAGGAGTTCAACCATGTAAAGCAATCCTGTAGGCCAAATAGGAGCTCTGAGGAACTCACTGGTGACTTTCTGGGAACTAATTTATAATGTAATTAATCAGCAATGAATTACAAGGCAAATATTTTTGAAAACTAATATAACATGAAATCTATGTATTTTTACTTAAATTTGTCTAGATGTTCTGGGAAATGAGAATCACAGTGCAAAATTTTAGTGACTCATCAATGCCCCTGCCATCTGTTTTGTGCATTGTTTATAAGTATAGAGTACTTAAGGGGTGTCTTATCTACACATATCTCCTTTAATTCTGAGAATCAACTTTATAATGGAACTAGAGGGATGTCTGACTGCCCCTTTAGGCATGATCCTGGGATCGGGCCTAAACAGGCAGATGGACATCTCTCTCACAGTCCAGGACTGCTGGTTCTCAAATGCTTGCCTGCCTGCCTTCCTGATTGCCCCTAACCACTTCTGCCTGCCTGATCACCCCCTAACTGCCCTCCCCTGCAGGCCTGGTCACCCCTAACTGCCCTCCCATGCTGGCCATCTTGTGGTGGCCATCTTGTGTCCACATAGGGGTAAGATCTTTGACCACATGGGGGCAGCCATCTTGTGTGTTGGTGTGATGGTCAATGTGCATATTACTTTTTTATTAGATAGGATAGAGGCCTGGTGCATGGTGAGGGCCAGCTGGTTTGCCCTGAAGGGTGTCCCAGATCAGGGTGGGGGTTTCCTTGGGGTGTGGGGTAGCCTGAGTGAGGAGCCTGTGGTGGTTTGCAGGCCAACCATTCCCTCTGGAAACCCAAGAGGAGGCCCTAGTATCTGGGATTTATTTACCTTCTACAATTGAAACTTTGTAGCCTGGAGCAAAGCCAAGCCTCCTGCTTGCTCAGTGGCTGCAGCCATTTCTGTTGGAATTTATTTATCTTCTATAATTGAAACTTTGTAGCCTGGAGTGGAGGCCTGGGCCCCCCAGGGTGTGTGGAAAGCTTGGCTTCCTCCATCACCTGGGAAACCTAAGCCTCCCTTCTGCTGGCTCTGTGGCCACAGCCATCTTGGTTCAGGTTAATTTGCATACCCACCACTGATTGGCTGGTGGGAGTGGCTGGTCAGCATGGCTGGTGGCTGTAGCAGAGTGATGGCTAATTTGCATATTAGTCTTTTATTAGATAGGATAGTCAATTCCTCTCTGCACTCACATTTTCATTATATCTAAATATTATATACTATCAGCATTCATCAGCACTGATGAAATAGATAACAAATAAAGATAACATAACCCTTTCAAGTTAGTATCTTGTTAATGGTCTAAAACAAGCAGGCCAGCTAGAATTAGAATGAGACATCACTGAACTAAGTTTAAGACCTGGTAAATTCAGCAGAAAGGGGAATTTTCAATTCCCCCTAGAAGCCCAAATTGCATCTTGATATTTTAAGGTAGCAAAACAAGATGAATTATCAATAGGAAAAAAAGTGCTTTAAAAGGATCTAAGCTTACTGATCCACAAATGTAGTAGACACTGATCTAGAATGACACCATAGTATTATTAATTTTTGCAAAGGAAAACTCTATGGCTAGGTTAAATTAAATCCACCATCAAATATCTGGCCAGCATTCCTCAAGATGGACAAGGTCACGGGAAACAGGGAAAGACAGAAACAGTCACAGACCAGAGGAGAGAGGGGGACAGATTCAAATAAATTCACTGTGGTGTCCTAGATTAGACATTGGAACAGAAAGAATGATGAGGTCTGAATAAAGTCTGGAGTTTAGTTAATAGCAATGTGTAAATGTCAGTTTCTTAATTTTGACAAAAATACCATGGAAAAATATTAACAGTGGGAGGAACTGGGTGAGAGACCATTTGGGAACCTTTTGCACTATCTTCACAACTTTTCTTTAAATTTAAAATTGTTTCAAAATAAAAAGTCTATTAATAAGTAACAATAAAACCATGAAAAACTGTTATCGTAGAATTCATAGATTTACATCATGTAATAATGATCAAATCTCCTCGTCATTTTAAAATTTCCTGTTCCTTTACTGATACTTTTTCTATAACCTGAATTCATGTTTAATTATAGCCCAGATTTTAAATTGAACACACCTGATTGTTCCCTTCACATGCAGGGCAGCTTTGTAGTATCAATTAATATATTAGCTTGTGTCTAAATCCTCTGTAACTAACTTCCCAAAGGCCCTGCAAGGCTATTCCAATGTAGATATATATTCTTTTTTTTTAAGGCACACATATGCAATTCTTAAAAACAATTCTGTGACTTACAAATGATGACATTTGAGCATTTTGGAGCATAAACTGCATCTGCTGGGCAAACATGGCTGCGGCAGTCTTTTGTTGAATCAGATTGTTCCGTCCATTAATTTCCAGCTGGGTTTTTAAGTGTGGAGGAGGGTGAAGGTACTTGCAGTTCTCTCTAGCACACCGACCCTAAAAATGAAGAATTAGAGTAATTTTCATTATTTTTTCTAAGAATCTGATATGGCTAAGAAAAATAAAAGTGCATTCTCAAACAATGAGGAAACCAAGGGAAAAATGTTAATTTTCCCTCAATTGAGGGGTGGAGAAAACATATATATATGACATACTCATAAATATATATTTTTAAATTTTAGACCCATTATGCTGGACATTTTAGGGTCTAAAGTTCTTTTCCATAAACCTGTACAGTGCGAGGGAAAAAATGTTGACATCCACTGACATTCTTTTAACCATAGAATATATCCTTTTACCTGGTTGCCATGTTGTTCTTTAGGTTCCAGAGACAATGGCTCTAGATCACTTGGATAATTGAGACCAAAGTTTATTTTGGAGTCACAGCTATATGGATGTTTTATTGATGGTTTAAGCACTTCCAAACAGAATAATATATCAATCCTGTGAAATCAACATCTTTAGCGTTGCCTAAATGTTGACACGGCTACTATATATAGTGTTTATTATGTGTAGCAAAATTGACAGATATTTATTACATTGTCAGATGTGACCTGCTGTGTTAGCTCATGAGCATTATATAAAGCAGCTAATTATTATCTCATTTAGATTACTGGGTTCACCATAATTTGTTTAAGGCAAACAAAACTGCAAGCAATTTTCACCCTCACAAATGCTAGAGATGGGTGAATAAAAAAGGCAACTTTTTTTTTGTTCCAGGAGAAAATGAATTAGTTCATCAACTGTTTTGAACACATGCTGTGATTTTCCTTATTTATGATTTCTAAATGATTCTCACAGTCACATCTCCATATTTATCTTGTTACTAAAGCCTTTCTATAATTTCACTCAGAATCAAGTTGTCTCTTTTAAAACATATAATGCAAAACCAAATCACTGCAGCTGCTCTTTTAAATATCAGGTCACTGGGATGAGCTGGTTCTATTATTTTAGTTTCTCTGGCAAGAAGCTGGGTACAACTTAAAATGTAGTTTGAGAAATTAGAGGTTCAACTTTTGTTTTCTGTCAGGGTTGTCCTTTTGTTTCTCCCATTGATCAATTTATTTTCAATCAAATTAAGTGATTTGTAAAATAAAATAATATCTTAGTTTCAAATCCTGGAAGAGGAAAATTTATTAGCAGTAAGAATTTACAATGGTATTAACTCAATTTTTCCAAATTCATAAAAGTAGTCTAAGAATAGTTATATGATTTCAGCACATATTACAGCTGTAGTAAATTTTTATATGCACTAAATATCACAATAATGAAGATTCTCCCTCATAAATATGCCTTCCAACAGATAACATGAGCCTCTGTTTTACACTTACCACAACCTGCACCAAGCCAAAGATGGTCACAAGGATTTTAATCTCTAGATTCTCCAGTCTCAACCCAGTATAACTGAGATAATCTGGCTCAGAATTAACAGCCCTTGGGAGCAGCGATACTTATGTCTTCCACAGCCAAGCACATTAGTTTATACTTCAGCATTTCTCTTCTTCTCACACTTAAACATTAAAGATTTCCCCAAACTTTGGTCCTAAATCATTTGCTCTCCTCTTTAATCTCTTTTTCCTTAGGGAATTAAATTATTGTGAAATTTCATGTATCACAGTAATTGCTCAGATCTAAATCTCGATCTCTCTGACTTCTCTTCTGAATTTCAGTCCTTTTTATCACTAATTGCAGAGGTATTCGGAAATCCTGCCCCCTAACCAGGTCTAAATAACTTACTCCTGACCTTTTCCTTCTTAGTCTGTTTTCTCTTTTCCTGCATATTCATATTTTTTAAGACCCTTGCTCAAATCCCCATACTTTAGGGCAGTTTCATAGCAAGTCATGAAAAAAGAAATTAGGCACCTGCTGAGCAGGATTGCCTTAGAATTGTAAACCAATCCTGGTAGCTTTCCCAGATAAGTGGCAAACACAACCATGGACATTTATACAGAACATAATTTGTACCCCTCCCCCCATCAAAAATAAAGCTGTATAATGAAGACTGTTTTTTATATTCAGAAATTCCAAACAAGCTATCATTAAAAAAAAAAAAAAAAAAGAGGAAAGAAATAATTGGGAATTTGACTTTTGTTACAATTTACAGTTTTAACATCATTTCCATTAAATACAATCAGAGGTGGGTTAGGAAGGAAAGGAGGGAGAAAACGGGGTATTTGGCATGTCTTACTAGTCTTCAGATAAAGAATTACTACCTGCCTTTGTGTTTTTATATAATTTTCCTTTACACATAATAACATTTCTTAAGCTTTTATCTTGAGAAACTGGCATTTTTTTTCCCCACAAAGCAAAACAGTATACAGACATAGAAAAAGAGAAAGAATTACTCTAAAAAGTACATCAAGTTGTTTTTTGTTTTGTTTTGTTTTTTAAAATATATATTTTATTGATTTTTCACAGAGAGGAAGGGAGAGAGAGAGCTAGAAATGTCGATGAGAGAGAAACATCGAGCAGCTGCCTCTTGCACACCCGCTACTGGGGATGTGCCCTCAACCCAGGTACATGCCCTTTACCAGAATCGAACCCGGGACCTTTCAGTCCGCAGACCGATGCTCTACTGCTGAGCCAAACCAGTTTCGGCTCAAGTTGGGTTTTAAAAATGTACTATGGAATATAAGGCAGCACAATATTTTTTTAAAAAACTTATTTATGAAATTTTATTTGCTTTATAAACTATTATCTTTTGAATGACAGAATCCATAATTTAATTTTATAAAACGCAGATGCATAGCCATAGTACCTTATCAGAAACTGTTGCTTATGTTAAAGAACATTTATAAAAGACAAAAATATCTGCATTTTCTACCCAAATAGTAAATGAGAAGACCAAATAAATTTATATGAATGTTATCTGTGGAACACAATATTTCAAAAACAAAACAAAAACAAAAAAATCCAAGGCTCTTAAGTTTTGTTTTGTTTTCCAAAATATCTTTAGAACTCAGGATAATAAATCTCCTCTGTATAGTATTTAGTCTTCAAAAGGCCCAGACTTAATTTTATACCAAAACATTTTAATTGGAGTTTGGATGGAGGAAGGGCAAACTTTTTTGACATTGGCTAACATTTGCTTTAATCCTTGTAGGGAATTGGACTTTTTGGTAAGCATGTATAAATGGGGTAGGTTGGAGGCAGGGAAAGGGCTGCCCAGCACAATATATAATCACCTACTGCTTTTGTCTTTTGGGAAATAAAATTCTATGAACAAAAAAGGTTCCAATGTTGCCCACGCCAGTTTTTCTCAATGGATAGAGTGTTGGCCTGCAGACTGAAGGGTCCCAGGTTTGACTCCAATCAAGGGCATGTACCTCAGTTGTGTACCTCTATGCAGGCTTGATCCCCAGCCCTGGTTCGGGCACGTGCAGGAGGCAACCAATTAATGTGTCTCTATCAAGAGATGTTTCTCTCTCTGTTTCTCCCCCTCCCTTCCACTCTCTCTAAAAATCAATGGGAAAATATCCTTGGGTGAGGATTTTTTAAAGGTTTTAATCATGTCCAAGCCAGCTAAGCACTTTGAATGGGTCACAAGATACCTTCTCACACTGGGTCTATAACAGCCCAGAAAGGTTCTTGGTCTGAAAAAAAAATCATACCTCAGGTTTCCCAAGCCAAGTTAATGGTGTCCCATGTCCTGTAGAAGACCAAGAAGTTCAGAACTGCCATGTGCTCAGTTCAAAATATTAGACCATGTCATAAAGGTTTACAAATGTATCTATTTTAGTCACCATCCACTGGTAGAGCTAACTATGTACTATCGATAGAAGCAGCACAAAGACCTGTCAAGCCATGCAGATCTTTTCCTTCTTCCCCTACATATAGACACACAATTTTAAAAAGTATTGAAAATATTAGAATGAAAACATTTATGTTAGCCTCAGTTTCACTTTTTCCACTTCATTTGGCCTTTAAAACAAACCATTGTCATCTAGACTATGTAACTGAGTTAAGAAAATAACAAAGTGATTAAATAGGAAAGTGATTCTCTGATGAAATAAATGCTACTATACCTATGAATCTTCCAGCTTCCTTCTCTTATCTACTCTTTTTGAAAATGCATCCCAAAAAGCTGCAGGGGGAGAAAATTGCCAATGAAATTTTCAAAATATGTCTTTATCAAAAGAGTTGATGACAGACAAAGACAAGGTTGAAAAGCATTTATAAAACTTCCAAAATTCAATCTATTTCCCTTTCTTATCTTTAAGCTTTACACAAATGCAGTCAAAGACTTTGAGAGAAAAAAAGTAGCATTATAGAGATTCACATCCCATCTAAGTCTTGGGAACTAAGAGATTCTGTCAGATATAAGTTTTCCCATATACTTGGTGGTAGACAAATCCTGAGAAATGTATTTTCATGGTCATGACAGAAAATTCTACTATCAGAACAAGAAAAGGACCCTATTAAGCTGAAAATGACACCTTGTCAATCAGTTTCTTAACAGAAACAGCTCTTTGCAAAATCACTTGCCTTTTAATACATTTGGAATTATAGAGGGAAGTCCTCTAAAATACAGTAACTCGATTACATTTTCAAAGATATCTTACTGCTCTTCTAGGCTACGAAGAGTTAAAAGTTAAATGTTAAATAAAGGCAACAAACAGATGATTTGTTCTATGAAAAAAAGTTATACCATTTAAATGATCATCTATTAAAAGAAATAATCCTATTGATTTTATATTAACCCACTGAAAACTACTTACATGCATAGACATGACCTCTCAGAGGAAGTAACAGCAATTTTAAAATTACAAATCATACATACTAGGTTGCTGGGTTCCTACAACCATTGCAGACCTATAAAAGGCTAGAAACAATCACAAAGAGCTAAAAGAGAGTCAATATAAACGATCAGCCGGATGTCAGCATGAGAATGGCAAATTCCCCACTTTCTCCTTTTTAGAGTTCTGTCTTTATAAATATAAATGTAATCAGTATTATTTTCTCCTCCAATATTTTACTATCTATGAACTACACACACA